GGTTACTCTTTATGATAGATACATAGAAAAGGAGTGAAGCGGTCAATGAGTACCTGTATTTTACTTTTTATTAACACTTTAACTCACTACTTCTAACTCCAGTGCACATCTCTGGGTTCAGTTAATAGGGTTCCTGTTCTGCACACACTCTAGGGTTTGATATTATGAATATCTTCAGCTATCAGAAGGCTATGTGTGAACAGTTTTCTCATTTTTGTCTCAGTTGTATGTGATTGATCACTAGCAGGTTTGAGCATTTTTTTAAAGTAATTGTGGCCCTTTATGTTTCTTCTGCAATATTCCTATTTGAATATCTTCTTGATGTTTTATAGGGTGTTTTTGTTAGTAATTTGGAGGAGTTCTTTATATATGCTCGATATTACTCATCTATTTTGGTACAGCTATAAATATTTTTTCCAGCGTTACTTTAACTTTGTGGTATGTTTTTTATATAGAAAAATTTTCACGTTTCATGAAATGGTTTATATAACTAAACCTCTTATGAGTTTCTGTTTACTTTATCTCCTTCCCTTGTTAACATTTTAATTATTCTGTTATATCTGTGACAACCCAAGGACCAATATTGACAAATTACCAGCAACCAAACTGCAGTTTTTTACCTGATTTCTATTTTTTGGCTGCAGAATTTCACCCAAGATCTTACGTTACATTTGGACATCACATTTTCTGAGCTCCCTGGTCTGTGACAGTTTTTTGAGCTTGCATTTGTTTTTGATGACCTTGATGAAGGAAGAATTTTGTAGACTGCCTCTCGATTTGTGTGTGATGCTTTTTCCCCTTGTTAGACTGGTGGGTTTTTGAAGGAATAATGCAAAGGTGGAGTGGGCTTCTTGCATACCAGCAAAGGTACATGCTGTTCACACCGCTCCTCACGGATGTCCACCTTGGTCATCTGACAGAGGGAGGGTTTTCCTGGTTACTCCACTGTGAAGGGTTTCAAAGAGATCTGAGTAAACGGAGAGACATCCAGTGTTTGCGGATCAGGTTTACTGTTAAGATGGTAACATCACTTTCAGAACTGAACTAAATATTTGGCACTTATGCTAGGTGAAGTCAACATAGTCACCATTCCTGATGCCCATGTCTGCTCCTCAAGAGGCTATTTTGCCAGATCTACCACATGGCACCGTGTCTGTTCTGCCTTAAAGTCCTGCTTTCAACTTGCCAAGAGCCAGGGCCTAGGAAAGAGCCGGAGATGACAAATCCAAAGACAATGACTGTAAAACATCAGGGATCCAAAGAATGTACTGAACTTGTGACTCTGTTTCTGAGAGGCATAGCCTGTCCATGGCTGCCTCACCAGTTCAAACATATCCAGTAGCTGAAATTCTGCTTTGGATGTGGTCAAAATCCTGAGGCAGCTGCCTCTACCTTCACTCACACCAGTTGTTTATAACTATCCTGATCCGTCAGCCAGGAATGTGGTCTCCTAGGAAGGGTGGCCCTTGGGCAGGCTGCTGTGCCACTGAGGCAGACTTAGAGGTGCTGGAGCCCTTCCCTGCAACTGTGACATCCTGTCCTCTCAGTGGGATCATGGTCCACCTGGGACTCAGCTGACAAAACTGTAGCACCCCTCCCATAAGCCTAGCATCTGGTCACATGAAGCCTGCAAGGCAGGGAGGTGGCATCTGCATCCTTGCCTCCCCTGAAGCCTCTGCACTGCACCATAGGACATAGTGGTGAGAAATTAGAAGATGGACTCTGGACCTCCCCAGAGGTTGGTTTGACTTCTGCCCAGTTTTTCTCACCTCATCTCTCTGGCAAGTTCAATTCCTCAATTCTCTAGCACTTGACATTCTTGAAAAATATCCTTTGAGGCACAGAAAGGCAAGGACTGTCCTGTGCAAACCCTGGGGCTCCATGCAGTGAGTGGGAATTCTCTTGGCCCCTTGCTGGGGACTCACCAAAAAACCCAAGGTGGCTGCAGAATCCCACAGAAACAGGCACTTTCAAAATGCTTCACAAATGTGCCTTTTTTATTAAAGTATTTGAGTCTGGATCAAATTCAACCCCATAATGTAGTGATTTGCTTAATGACTGCAGAATATTGTCTTATCTGAGGAGAAGCAGGACATTTTAAGACCACAGAGCCCAGAATTAACAGCTTGGAATTTTCGCCATGCTGGCTGTTAATTGAGTTAAGCCATTAAAGGGAGAGAATTTTTGGCAAATTCTGAGGTCCTCGTACAAGCAGAGCCATAGATGTGTTCAAATCATTTTGAAATAAGCATCTGGTGCGCCAACTATTTTAGAAAAATAGGCTATTTAATCAGAAGGTTTTCAAAAGCATCTGAGGCTCTCAAATAAACTATCTGAGAACAGTTCCACTCCACAGCCACACCAAACCTCTGAAGGCGAGGCAAAGCATGGATCCAGCAGGAGCTGAGACCACTGCTTGTGCTGGGATTTTCTTGGGAAGTATCCTAGGACCTTGACACCCAAGTCAAAACCAGTCTGGCTCTGCAGTTTTCTTGGCACTGTGGGTATCCCCAGCCATGACCCCATGGCATGCACCAGGGTGACTAGGAGGGTTACATCACTAAGGCCAGGTGTCTTATGGGTCTTTGTTCCTACAAGATGGATATTCCTTGAAGTAAGGACTCTAGATCTGCTGGAGATACAGGGACAACCCAGTAGCTGCTGTTAGTATTTCCCTAAATCAATCCCAAATATACTTGCTGCATGGCACAGCGATGCTGACCCACAGAGGTTGTATGGCTCAGGTCATTTGAAAATGGCTCATGAAAAAAAAAAAAAAGGCTCATGATTTTCATGGCCTTGTTTTTCCCTGGAGATACCCCCTGTGCAGCTAAGGTTATGCCCACAGTGTGCTGTGAACAAGTTCCCTGCCTGGGCAGGTGGGGTCTTCTCTTCAGTGCTCAACTCTCAGCTGGGAGAAAGCTGCTGCGTGGTTCCTCTCCTGGGCTCAGGGACAGGGGCGTGACTGCTGCTCTGAGGGCTAATAGCCACTTTTAGCTGCTGTATGGTGGCCCAAAAGCTGGGTCCTACAGAAAGCAGGTGTCCAGATAGTACCCACGGCCCAGACCTGGGGTGGGGGCTCCTTGAGGTACATGAAGCAGGTTCTCCAATTACACATGGGTGGTGAATCTTGGGCCAAATTTAGCAAAAGGAGTTCATGGAGAAGATTCTAGGAGCTGGGCAAGGGGACAGGAAGCAACATGGGACAAGCAGGGAAGCGAAAGCCAGGGGACCTGAGAGTAAAGAAAGCTCAGGAAGCCCCCAGTTGTTCTCCCTTCATCCTCCAGCCCAGGGCAGCACTGACTCTGTCAGCCCATTTGGGTCTACATGGTGCAGTGATGCTACCTATGGAGGTTGAACACCTCCCTGGCTGGGAGTACGTGCTGCCTGTTGGCCTCTAAGCATGGCCACCCCCACCCAGTGTTATCTGTAGAAGTGATATTCCTCAGACAGCACATGCTGATCAGAGCCCACAATTCTACAGTGAAGTCATTTTCCTCCCAGTATAACTCTCTTATCTCACCAGCATCCAGTAAAACAAAGACTAACTCTAAGCAACGGCTGCATTTCAAAGTGTCTTCCATCACCTTTCAGAGATGATGATGTTGATGCCAATGACGAAGATGCCAGGATTTGCCATATCAACCCAGGCCTTTTCTCTCTTACTGTAGAGGATGGTGGGGCTGGGGGAGTAGTCTTCTGAGTCCCAGACACATCTGAGGGGACAATGGCAGCTCTGAGATGCACCAAGCAGCATGTGCTATCTGCAGGGCTAACTGCCCAGGGATTCAAGGAAATCTTAGGTACAAGTGGTGGCCTATTGGGAAGTGGTGCAACCAGGTTCTGGAGCCCCCGCTGGCCCACATTTGGGCCTGGAGCTGCCCCCTGGTGCTGGCTCCCTGGGGCCAATGGCTTCATCCCTCTGTGTGCTTCCTCATCTATGAAACGGGACCTCTGACTCTAGCTACCTTTAAGGACCTGGTGGGGAATCTGTGGATTAACAAGCAGGACAAACTCTGGCACACAGAATTATTTGGTCAGTGTCACTTACCTTGTGTGTGACAGCTGAAATTTCACAACTGCTGGAGATGGTAGAAAATGTACAGATTTTAATTCCAGGTTATGGCTGAGGGGAGGTTGAGATATAAAAAGAAACTGGCAGGGAAAAAGAAAGAAAAATGACAGTCTTGCCTAGGCAAATCTATGGCTGTGGCTGTTTCTGGATTAAAAGGGCAAAGTTGGTAAGGGGGAACCCAGGGCTGTCCCTTCTCTGCTGCCTCCTCTTCCCTACGGCTGGCAGCAGCTGCCTTTTCTGAACTTGGCTTCTGTGGCTGTCACCTGGAGACCTTTCTTTTTTTTTTTTTTTTTTTTTTGTCTTTTTCGTTTTTAGCAGTACCAGGGATCGAACTCACGACTGCCTGCTTGCAAGGCAGGTGCTTATGCCGCTGAGCTAAATCCCCAGCCCTTGGAGACCTTTCAAAACTAATCAGGTACCTGGGTCCAATCCCCAGAGGGTCTGACTCAATTGGTCTGAGTGTGACCCAGGCTTTGGGATCTTTAATCTTTCTTGGGTGGGAGGTGACAGGTGACAAGATCAAGTGGAGCCCTCTCTTGTTGATAGTGGCTCCTGCAAGTGCAGGGTTGGCTCCCTCATGTTCCACCTTCTACCTACTCAAAGTCAAGTTTAATACAAGCAGTTCTTCCCCTTCCTGGCACCTGTGAAGCCTTGGTGGTGGGGGTGGCATGTGGGACTGGCTGGCTCTGGAATCAGCTGCCACATGGCAAGGGTGCTCCCACAGGGGCTGCCCTCTGAATTCATTCAGCTGGGGTGGACTCTCTGCCTACCTCGTGTGCAGAAGGAGCAGGTTCCTGAAAGGCACAGGTAGGGGTGTGTGCATGTGTGCGTGCTTTAATGGATCCTATTTACAGCCTTAGGATTCAGGAATGTTCCTAATGACTCTGGGGTCATTCCTTCAATACTTGAAGAAAATCACAAGCACTTAAGGAACAAAATAATATTTTTATTAAAAATTGTACCAATAGCACCTCTCTGCCTTCCTACAAGTTGTTAGATTGTGTTTTTGTCCCTTTCTTTTAAATGAAATCTGGTTTTCCGTACAATTTCAGACAATGTTTTAGGGGAAATGCAGAAGTGCCCTGAGCTCTCTCTAAATGGGAAGGTGGCACTGGGTGCACACGAGCACCTCGGTGCATTTCCATGCCGTTCTCACCTCTGCCTGGGACCTTCCTAAGCTCTGAGAGTTGAAGGTGTCCAGGCCAGGTGTGCAGACAGTTGTTCATCAGGGACAGCTGCACTGTGCGCCCAAAACATGTAAAAAGAAGAACCATGCTCCACACCACAGTGCACCTCCAGCGCATGCTTGACGCCAGGTGAACTCACGCACAGGCGCAGCCTTGAAGGACATTTATGACAACAAGTGCCATCCGCGTGGGTGGCAAATGCACTCTGCATGGCGCCTGGTGTCTCGAGTGCTTTCTCCCAGGGCCGGTGAGGGAGAGGCTTCCACCCTCCATCTCATCTTCTTCCTCTGGGGTAAGACAAGCAGGGAGGGGAGAGATGGAGGGGCAGGTGGGAAGACAGGGCAGTCAGGACCCATGTACACAGAGGGGCCCTCTCTGGACACCTGCGTGTACCTGTCCTGTGGCTCCACCGTGTGCACTGGGAAGGGCCACTCACTGTGCAGCACAAGCCTAACTCCTGATTCTGTGGCTGCGGGGAGGTGACTGCTGGTCCTGAAGCTGCTCAGGGCTGGCTTTCAGCTCCATGGAGAGAGAACAGGCACACCCTCTCCTCGCCTCAGTTATGGAACTGTTGCTTGTCCTGTGGTCAAAACGGAGGCTTCAATCCAGTGTCCACATTCCTATTCTCCCTGGAGATGGGAGGTGAGGATGGAACACGCCTCAGTGTCCACCCTGCTCTGAGGGTGGAAATCTAATTGGAGGCTCCTGCCCTGCTCCTCGGATGCAGGCAGCTCATTCGGGTCAGTTCCTCAGAGTGACAGGCTGGACCACAGTCAATGACAACAATTTCTCAGCAGCTACGGGGCCACAGCAGCCTCAGAAGACCACTGCTTATAAAAACAAGTTTACTGAGAGCACAGGGAATAGGAGTCTGAAAAAAAAGTGCCACGTCATTGCCATGAGAAACCAAGAGCAAAACCACACAGCAGACCAAGGTGTCCTCAGCGCTGTCCTCATTCATTAAAGCGATTTCCTTATGGCTTAGGAGCAAAGTGCACGGTGGGGGCCCAGCTCTTCGTGCAGGGTTCTCTTCCTGGAAGTTCATGTGGCCACCCTGTGGTCTCCTGTCCACTCCTTGCTTCTGGGTGACGGGCAGGAGACAGCTCTGTCCACTGAGGCCATCCCCCGACCTTGGACTGTGGATGGCAGTTCTCACACAGAAGTGGCTTTGGGCAGAGCGTCTGGGATTTTTGGTTTAGAATATTTCCCCTTCCATCCAGAAAAAGAAGGAAAGGAGAGAGGGAGGAAAATAGAAAGGGAGAGAGGATTCTTTTCACACCTGTTTTAGGGAAGCCTTGGGTACTTATCTGGAAATTCCTCCACAAAAACTTCAACTGCATGTTCCTGCAATACATGGAGCACCACACAACCTCTCCTTGGTCTCCTGGGGCCACACCTGGAAACTCCGAAAGCAGGAATCCAGACACTATCCACCCCTTAGCCTACATGTGGCCATGGAACTGGCTTCCTGGTGACACTGGCCAGGTGATGGCCCAGCAAGTCCCCACCCTCTGGGCACTGGGGTCCCTGGGAGGACGATGCCTGCCTCATCCCGCTGTGTTTCGGGCATTGACAGAGGGTCACCAGTGTCACCAAAAGGTGGAAATGTGGGGTGCTCATGAGTACTGGGCTGCACATGCTGCCTGGTATTAGTAGCCCTCTGGTCACATCCAGCCAGACCTGGTCCCTGGCTGAGGCACTGACCTCAGCTACCTGTCACAAAAGGAGAGGGAAGGGCCAGAGGCACAGCCGTGGTCAGAACCCTTAAGTGTTCCAAAGTAGCTCATACTATTTTCATTTAGCTAAAAATATTAAAACAGTGACAATTAAAGAAAAACTGTTCCCAGAAAACCTGTTAAGGTTACAAGCTGGCCGTGAATGGGGGTTGGGGCAGCAGCGCTGGCAGTCAAAGCAGGGGCAGCTGTCAAGAGCAAGGGGATGAACGGGAGGACTGTTCCCCCAGGTGCATAGGTGGCCAGCCCAGGGGGCACGCGGTGACTAAGGGCCCGGGTCTCAGAGCTGTTTTGCTTTATTTGGAGATACGGTTGCTTCTCATCTTTCCCACGTACAAAGCTGAACAATTAATAAAAAGGCACCTGGAGACAGCAAAGATGCATTCATTTCATGTGACATAGTTTAAAAAAAGATAAAAAGATTTAAAAAATACTCTGGTTAACAATGCACACTTCCTACAGAACAAGCAACTCTGCAAATGCCGGCTCACTGTCTGTCAGCGGGGTGGGCCGTGTGCTGTCACAGGAAGTTCACTGAAGGACCTGGCTGGCCTGGGAGCGAGGGGAGGAGGTCTTGTTCCTGCTCTGTCAACTTGAAAGAAAGAAGGGAAGAAAGTAAAGCCCTGAATATTTCACCACCAGAATGACAGAAGCCAAGCTGAGCCCCGGCAGAGTGGAGGACACCACCTTCCAACTGCTCACCCCTAATGCACCCCACTCCAGACACCTTAAAGCTGATTTTTCACCTGGAAACTGCGGAGTGAGAAAATCTCTGAACTGGTCTGAGTTGGGCCACAAAACTCTAACTGAGCCCTGGTCAAAGTGCCTGCTCACTACACCCCAGCAGCAAGTGAGCCAGCAAACCAGGAGCCCGAGTTGTCCAAATACAGAGCTGGTTCTGGGAAGAGGAGGTAGAGATGGAGCAGGCCCGGGCTCCATTCCGAGGACCCCACCTCCTGTCTCTTGTCACCTCTGGTGGCTTGGAGGATGAGAAGCCCAGGGCTGGGTGGTGCCGAGCCACTGCACCAGGGGCAAACCTTCTCTTAAAAAGAAAAGAAAACAACAAAGAGCCCTGCTTTCTGCAGTGGTGTTACAAAAAGCCATTAAAAAAACCTTCCTAATTGAAATCTAGTGTTCACGAGTAGGTAAAATCGCGCTTATCAGAATTTTTTCTTTTTAAACAAAAACCTCAGCTCAGTTCCTGGAGTTGGTTGTCTTAACAAAAATAGACTCCGGAAGGTCCGCATCCGTCTTGCCCGGTGTTGGCCTGGGGTCACACAAAGGAAGAGAAGCCGGTGAGAGGGGCCCGGGTGCCAGGGCCAGCTGGGGTGTAGACTCCGCCCGCACTCTGTGTGGTGATGACTGGGTGTGGGTGCTGAGCCGCCTCAGCCCCTGCCACTGCCTCGTACCTGTGAGGCGCTGCGGCAGGGGGCCTCCGCTTCCAGGAGTTGTAGTAGGTGGGGTCGCTCATGTAGTGGTTGACAAAGGAGTGTTTGGGCAGTGCGTCCTCATAGTCCGAGTCGGAGGCCTGCAGGAGAATGACAGCATGAGTCCCAGGGGTTGGGGACAGCTGTGGGCCAAGCAGGAAGCAGGATTAGACCTCAAGGCTGGACAGCGAGTCATCTAAGATGAGGGTGGCATGTTTGTCACATACTTCCTGCCTTCTGTTCCCTGCTCTAGAAGGCCCAGGAGAGATCTACTTGGCCCACAGGATACTCCCAAAGGAGCAGAACCCAGAAACACAGTAGGAACAGGAAGAACTTGGGCCTCAGGCCTGCAGGAAACTGAGACACTGTTGTGGACCAAAGTGAAAGGGTTTTCTAGCTTCACAGAGGTGGGGAGGTCTCACCTTGGGAACAGCATCACATCCAGGAGCCCCAGTAGGGAGGTTCCTTGGGAACCTGAGGGAACCTCCTTCCTGAGGAAGGAAGCTGGGCAAACTACTCTACATTCCTGGCACGGGAGATCCCATCACCCTCCAGGTGCCAGCAGGAAAGCTGGATAGGCATCCCGGAGGCCTCTGAGGATCTGTCCTGTTTGGGGCTCTGCTCTTTTATAAAGTAAGCTGGAAGAAAAAATATTTAGTCTGCATTTTCTATGCTCATTTTCTTAAAGCAAAATTATTTTATGGTTCTTTGGGTTATGTTGTTAGAGGAAGGACTAAAGCAGAAGGTAGAGGGAGGGTTTCCTAAGACCGAGGGGGCACCCAGTTTTCCTGACCGGTGCCACATCCCCACCTGGGGCTCTCACCTGAGGTTCTGTGGGCTTTCTGAGCCCCTCAGGAGCCACCTGGCAGGGCTGCAGCCTGGCACTGCCCGCAGTGGATGGTGGAGGCACTTTTAAGTTCAAGGGGGAAGCAGGGAAGTGTGACCTGGCAGGGCTTCTCCTCCCTTGCCCCTGCCAAAATGAAGGGACCTCATCTTGGGGACACATGGTGTCCTGCTCCATTCCTTATGCTTCAGTCAGAGTTGCAACAGAGCGTGTCTCTTCCCTGTGCTCCAGGGCCCCATCTCTTGAGGGCTCAGTCCCACCTGCCTTTCCCTCTGCAGCAGACTTAGTTGGGGTGGGCAGCCCACCTGGGACTCAGAATCACAGCGGCTTAGAGGGCAGGTTGTGGTATGGTCCAGGGGGTGGGAATACATCTGCTTTAGAAGCTCCCAGAGAGCTGGTGTGGCAGTGCATGCCTGTAGTCTCAGCACTTTGGGAAGCTGAGGCAGGAGAATTTTAAGTTTGGACTCAGCCTGGTCAACTTGGTATTTAGTGAAACCCTTTCTCAAAATAAAGAAGGCCTGGGATGTAGCTCAGTGTGAAAATCCTAGGTTCAATTTCTACTACCTCCCTACACACACATACTCAAAGCTCTCAGTGGCCAGGAGCTGCTGGCCCACTGGGGCGTCATGTGGATGTAGGATGAGCGAGGAGGCTGTGGCCCCAGTTAGAGCACCACTTCCGGATGATAAATATTCTTAAGAGGAAAAGCTGCCACCCCAGAGGTGTCGGATCTGCTTCCTCCTGGGTTGGGGATGAGGGCTGGAAGCTGCTGCCTTCCCCTTTTCATACAGAGGACAGGCAGGGTCCTGGCTTCTGGGAGTGCTGGTGGCTGCTGGTCTGAGTCTCCTGGCCTGAGAGGCTGGGATGAGTTACCTTCACCATTCTGCAAGAAGCATGGCCTGAGTGAGTCTCCTGCCCTGGAGCTGTAGGAACCCCTGGGACACACAGAGCAGAGCTGCAGCCTCCAGGGAATTTCAGACACAGACTGAAAGTTATACTCCAAGTGGAAGAGTCCCTCAGAATTGACAGCAAGACACAGTGTTGGGGTTTTGGCGGACATCGATGTGGTTTGTTTGTGCTGCAGCAGCTGAGTGCAGCTGTCCTTCTGTGTTTTTATCGTCAGAGGTCCATAAACGTGGGGCTGAAAGTACACCCTGTGTGCAGAGGCACAGTCTCTCTGTGACCTAACTGTAATGACACACATTTCAGAGGTTCTGTCTTAGTGAACTCTCAGCGTGCTCCAGATTAACCCAGGAGCTCTGCAGCCATGTGACAGTGTTATGCTGTAGGGCTTCGTTCCTGGGCATGGAGGAGAAGAGGAGGCTTGAGTCACCCCTGAGCCCATCACCCTCTGTGGACAGGACCTCACTCCAGCTCCAGGTGTTTCCTCTGCATCAGCCAAACCCAACAAAATTCTCTGACCCCAACCCATGACCCCAAGGCTATAATGCTCTGAAAATCAAAAGTTTCTCTGGCTGGTCTGTTGGTGACAAAGTGGGACCTGAGCAGAACCGGTCTTGGTGGTTCTCCTGAGCTGAGCCAAGAGCTGATTTGATGTGAGCACCTTTGTGTTTTGCTGCAGAAATAGTCACATATTTGATCACTACTGGCCCACTGCAGATGCCACATGGCACTGAGAGTTTCAACCTGAGCTTCACGGAAATATGCTCGACCTCAAAGCTTCTGCTGAGAGATCAGGGATGCACACCTGCGGCTGCTGTTTAACATGTGTCCTTAGCTGTTTGCCAGAGGTCCTAAGGTGGCTTAGGAGGCAAAGCTCTATGTAAACTGAGATGAGGAGGGGAGCTGACAGGGATCACCAAGAGAAGCTAGAGGACTCTATGTTGTCAGCCCTGACCTGAGCTTGCCATGTCCTTAGATGTTGACTGGGGAAGGAAGTGCTGAAAAATATGAGGAATGGGAGGGCAACTCTGTTCCGGGCTTCACAAATCTTGTTATCCCTCTGGGTGCATCCTTGGGTGCCGGGGGATCCCTGTTCAACTTCCCTGAATCAATGGAGAGAAGCAAGAAGCATTGAGTGAATTCTGTCTCCTCATTTTGGGCCTGGAAGAATCAATAAAAATTCAAGTGGTTTTCTCAGGTCACACCAGGAGGGCCACACTGGGGCCACAGTTATGCCAGTATCTCAGCTAAAGTCAGCAGGAATAGAGCCTTTCGAGAAACAGAGGAGGGACATCTGCCTGTTCAGTAAGAGGCCAGTGTTTATGGCAGTGGGTCTTGGATGAAGGTTCTATAGGTGGTGGAGAAACCATCAAATTCAGTGAGACTTTGTGCTTCCAGTTCCACTGCAGTGACCCATGCCTCTGATATGTCTGGCACCCACCTGATGCCCTTGGGGCTCCTCTGCCCTCCTGAGACCTTTGCCTATCCCTCTTCCTGCCGTGGTAGGGCCATTGGGAAGCAGGTTCCTAGCAGGTGCGCCTAGGGGCTATGGTGGACTGCAGCGTTCTCCCAGGAGTCTGCATTTCTAAGAGGACATTCTGAACCACTTGGAGAATGAAAGGAGTCTATGTCCTTCCCCCCTGCCTGTACTCATTTCTATGTGATTAATAAAATGTCATTTTACTCAAGACTCCTTAGGTATACCACTATGTATTTTATCAACCAAGTGTCTAAACATGCTATAGTATCTAGACAGGGAGCTGTGACCAATGTGGGTGCTAGGGAATGTCCAGAAGGGAGACACAGGTAGGGAGTGCCTGCTTTGCAGGTGTCTGGGCCCTGCCCTCTTGAAAGGAAGCCACTCCTCTGCCCCATGGACTGAATGGCTCATCCTTCAGGGTGTAGTGACTTGTGCTAAACCAGTCAGAGCCTTATCCAGGAGTCACCCCTGTGCATCTAAGAAGGCAGGGTTCTCAGTATAGGGACACAGCTGGGAAGTGAGTGGCCAAATGGCTCCAAAGGCCAACCAGACAGCAAAACCATGGCATAGAAAGACATTCAGATGGGAGACTAAGAGAGGCTTCTTTTGCTTCTTGCTTTTCATTTGGGCAGGAAGAGTGAGAAGGTACCCAGGGTCAGATGACAGACATCACCAGAGCTGGAGGTAAAAGTCAGGCCTCTGGCTCCTGCTTAGACCTTGCATTGGTTCCTGATGAACAATGGCATGAAAATGTCACCCTCTACCAGCAGCTCTGTTTATTATTTATATGACTTATTGGGGCTATATTTTACTAAGAGACAATTATTGACAAAAAGGAAATGTTACAGGTCTTGTTGTTAAGATTCATGCATGATGTGAAGTTGTGGTGTGCATTTGTTTCCTAGGAAACCATGGAAGGAGGGAATGTGATTAGATGTGACCCTGGGTTGTGAGTTCCCAAAGGTGCCCAGCAGACCACAGAGGGCCAGATATCAGTATTCGGGGCTGCCATAAGATATTATCTATAATGATCTGTTTTCAGGAAAACCCAGGAAGATACAATACACAGGGAGAAACACAGGTAGCTTGTGAAGGGCCTGAGTATCAGATTAACCAGGCAAAGACTTCACAAGCAACTGTTACAGTGCTGTTCAAAGAAAAAGAGGAAATATGTATATAATTATACTGTTGGGCTTATAACTTACAGAAATGTAATATAGTGAACAATGTAGCACAAAGGACCTGTTGATGACTTGAATCCATATAAGGAAATGCAAAGGGCCAAAAATAGTCAATAAGGTTAAATGACAAACTGTCTTAAGTATGTACTTGTTCTCCTTTCTTCTTGCAATTTCTTTGAGACATATAATCATATAATATAATAATTACGAACATGTATTCTTCAGTCTGTAACATATATGGACATAATGTATAATAAAATACAAGTTTATATGTGTCATTGACATTTATTATGTATAATAAAATATAAGTTTATATGTGTCATTGACATTTGGGATAAATCTGGAGTAGATAGTAATATAGAGAAAGCTGTTAAAAATAACTGAAAAGTATAATAAAAGCAAAAGTGGGAGAATTAAAGTGGTACACTAGAATATATCCATTAATCAAAAAGAAAGCAGCAATGAAAATAGGAGAATAAACATATGAGACATACAGAAGGCAGATGTCAAAAGGATAGATGTAAATTATATCTAAGTAATAATTACATTAAATGTGAATTGATTAAATAAGCCAGTCAATGGGCAGAGATGAGCAGAATAATTAAAATAACATTATCCAGCTACATGGTGCTTAAAAAGGACACATTTGAATTCAAAGGCACATGGGTTGAGAGTAAAAGGATGGAAATGACATACTTGTGGGCAGTAACCATAAGAGAATTAGAGTAGCCACACCACTAGTAGACAAAGTACTTAAAATAAAAATTGTTAATGGAGGCAAAGAGGTGCATGCTATAAGGATAAAAGAGATTTGAAAAACACTTAACAACATATAAGCACATATGCATCTAACCGTAGAGCTCCAAAATACATGAAATTAAAGCTAACAATTAAAAAGAATAATACATAATTCAGCAATAACAGTTGGAAGCTTCAGTACATTGATAGATGGCAGAAGATGGCAAATCAATTAGACTTAAAAGACCTTATCTTGAAAACCATGATGTGCCTCTGTGGGAAGATAAAGGAGCCCTTTCCCCTGAGCACAGGGCTTCCTATGGGAGCAGGCAGCCTGGATCAAGGCCCTGGTTGCTTGGTCACATGGCTGTGCCACAGCAATTCAGCTCTGAGGGGCAAGTCCGGTGGGAACACGAAGTTGAAGCCAGATGTTCAGCTGAGCTTATTAACAAGTGCTTGGAAAAGCATTCAGACTCTTTTAGCCTCATGTTTTGCCTCTATTGTATAAGGACATAACCACCTCCTTGCAGAATTCTATGTAGTCTGGGTCCCAAGTTTCTCCTTCCTCCTCTGCCTGTCCCCTCTCCTTTTGCTTCCCTCTCCTCTCATAAACTCACCCCTTCCTACCTGTCTGTGTGTGTGTGCACGCGTACGCACATGTGCATGCTTGCATTTAGGTATGTACAAGTGTGTACATATGTAAGTCTAATGTATGAATGCACTGGTTTGCCTAGCTCAGCGCCTGAGTGCATTTATTAATCTTTCATCTGAGTAGAAAAGTAGACCAAATACTTCCCATTAGTCTGTGTTAAAAATGCTTTTATAACAGTTCAAACTTTGTGAATCCAATTCTGGCTGCGCAGGAGCATACTAGCCACTAGGTAGCTTGTGGCTGGAGTGGACAGTGGAAGGTGAGACAGGATCAGCCAAGCTCTGGGGATCCAAAGACCTACATAGCCACCAGTCCTATTTCCTTTCTGCTGCATGAGGCAGCTCCTGAACACGGGGACACTCATCTGTTGGCATGTAGAGGGTAACCTGGAGCCTGACCTGGTTGGTGCTTAGTCCCCCAAAGCAACACTTGCCTGGTGCACCCAGCACTAGTGCACAGTGGCCATCAATGTCTTGCACTGTGCCTGAGGACTCCAGAGGGTGGGGGGCTGGGAGTCAGCTCAGACACTGTCAGCGTCCAGGAGGTACATCACTTTGAACAGAGATGGAAGTCCTCCTGAAGGGCATCTCACTCCTTCTGTCCATGCTGCTTTTAGGTACAAGTGGTTATGACACTCTGGACTTCTCTTCCCTTTTGAGATACTTGTATTACCATGTGCTCTTTTTGCCACATCAAGGCAAAGGCACTGTGAATAACCAGCATCCTCTGAAAATAGGACATGCAGAACGAGCCCAGCTAGCTTTGCCATTCCCTCCTGCATGCGCTCCCTGGAACTCATATATAAACCACAATTGAAAAGTAGCCATGGTACTGAGCCTTGGGGCTCAATAAGGCCTGAATTCAGGTCAGAATGAAGGTGAACTTATTTTAGATTAAATATTGATTTAGAGTACTAGCCTGGGAAGTGGTACCGGCCTGTGTGTATGGCAAATGGCTTGATGTTTTTCATCTCTCTCAAGGCTTAGTCTATCAGAAACAAAACACTCCGGGCTGTGGAGACAGTTTTTCTGCAGCTGTTTGGGCTGGCAATGTAAGCTACTGAGACAAGGCATTCTTCTGGGGTGCACTGAGCCCCGCTCAGAGCTCCCATGGCTCCCTGGTGCAGCACCAGACATGTCCTGCTGGGTAGGTGATGGAAAAGACTAAGACAAGGTCTGAGGTGGATGGGCCCTGGAACATGGCAGGGTGACACCCCCAGAAAGCTTCTGTGTCTCTGGGCCACTACTTGGCTAGGCAAAGGACATGTTGCCGATCTGGAACAGCTGTGTAAAACTCCTCTTCCACAAAAGAAGGCAAGAACAGGAGGTTCTTGGGTAGGATGGGAAGGCCAGGGTGAGTAGGCAGCACCTATTTGGGGGTAGGGGTTCCACCCCTCTCAGGGCTGTGGACTCAGGCTCCCTGCTGCTCTAGCCCCCATCCAGGGACCACCAAGATGCATGATGGGGCAGCCTCCAGAAAATGCCATGTGCACTGCTGAGGGCAGACAGATGTGGCATGGGCTGCCAGACAGATGTGTATCAGGCAGCTGCTGGCCTCACTGGACCCCAGCCTTGCCCTTGTAGAGTGGCTCTAGTGCCTGTAAAGGATCTCAGAGGCTCGCTTAGCTAGTGACCATGCTCAGTCAACATCAGAGTCTGCTCTGCAAGCTGCTCCTTGCTGGGAGAAAGGACCTGCCTTGCCTTGCCTATCTTAGCTCTAGGGGTTTTCAGCAGTGGACCCCCATGAATTGGCTTGGTGCCTCTGTTCTGCCCAGCCTGTGTGGGAAGCGCTGATGGGCCCAAGATGGACTGTGGATCTGAGCTCTGGCTCTCATGCTTTCCTCATCTGTAAAGTAGGGTCTTTGTCACCAGCTTTGCCTGCTCCTTGGGTAGCTGTGAGAGTAAAAGAGCCGAGATGTCTTGCTGAAGGCTCATTATGAAGGTGGGGGATGCAGGCGCACACTGACCTCAGATTCCGATGTGCCCACTGACTTCTCCTTGAGGCTCATGCTCTCCGTGAGCACAGCACCATTGTATTTGTTGCAGATGTCCTCATCAGAGTAGCGCAGTCCACCGGGGCTTGGCCGGGGTGGGGACCTGGGATAGAGATGGATGGCATAGGTCACCCCTGCTATTTGGCCTGGGTCCAGACAGAATGTGAAGAAGGCCATGTCCTTGTCACCACCTCTGACAACCGGTGCAAAACATTCTGAGCACTGGCCAGCTGGGGCCTGAAGAGCAGCCCTTGCTGATCAGGAGCCTGTTGACCACAGGGACAGATGGGGCTGAGCACAGGGTCATGATAAGTGGTCTGATCTTGCCGAGCCAAGGGGTGTGGATTGGATTCCACCACAGGAAGGCATCAGGGAAGTGTGCACAACTGGTCTCCTGCTACAGAGGAGACCATGACTCAGGGCTGGAGCCAGAGAGACACAGAGGTTGCTGTAGCTTTAGATCTTTGTCGGCCAGAATTCCCAGATGTCTCTAACACTGGCCCCTGTGCCACTTGGCCCCTTGAGTGTGGGCTGAGCTGTGACACGCTCCCAACTGCTGGAGCACAGGGGAGGGGAGGGGTCTCAGAGCCTTTCTGGGGTTCCTTGTATGGAAAGGGAGGAGTTGTCTCCCTCCCTATCTCCAAAATTACATGACATTTATGAAAGCCTGGCTCAGCCAACTGGTGATAGAGATGCTCCAACTGGCCTTGCGGGGCCAAGCAGCCTTAGTGAATGGCCTGTGGAGAAGCCCCCTAGCAGGGGACTGAGTGGCCTCTAGCCACGGGTACAAAGAAACTGGGACTATCAGTCACTGGGTCACAAGGAAACCTGAGGAGCACAGAAAGGTCGGTTGCCTAGGTGCACAGAGAATGCGGTTTTGGTGATGCTGGCTCCCCGCCAGGGAGGCTGCAGGGGCCCACACTCCTGCTCAGGACACCATAAGGCAGTAACTGTATGCTAGCATTAGCTGCTATGTCTGTGGTCACTTGTCACACAGCAATAGAAAATGGATGTCCTGGGGATGCTCAACCTGCAACTGACTGAAGGCCCAGCTTCTCTTTTTCAGGTGGAGAAATTACAACTTGGGGAGGAAGCCTGAGCATAGACCCAATTAATCTTTAAGTGGGGCAGGGCAGAGCACTTCTTAGTTCCTCATGGCAGGTGGTGCTGTTGTTGTCCTTAATGGGACTGTGATCACATCCAGGACCCTCATGCTGTGAGGACCTGACAGAGAGCTGGGTTGCTGCACACAGGGTGACCTTTTATATCCCCATGGGAAAGTCATTCTTGGTGATCTGAGCCCAGAGAAGCCACTGGCCAAGACATCTTTGCCCTGGGCAAAGACTCTGGGAAGACAGGGGTCAGAAACCCCTGATCTTACACCACAGCTACTATCTTACTTGGGATTGGCTATGTCCCAGTTTCTCCAGGAAAGGACCAGGGAAGGCCCACAGGCCTCCTTCCCTACCTCAGAGATAACTTATTTTGGGAAAGACTCCTTTTGTCCTATAATCATTTGGGTAAACTATTTTAGCTGAGAAGATAACATGGTGCCTTCCACAGAGAAACTGGTGCCTCAGCACAAACCAAGAAGGGAACCAACCATGCCACATTCTAAAGGAACCTTAGACTCTGTGCTGGAGGACCTGATCCTTGTGCCCTGGCCATCTTGAAGGTCTCTGTCCTCCATGGAGCCCCACAAGTGTGCAGACCCCTCCCCAGCACAAGACTCTTTCTTCTGTCCTACTCAGCGGGGTCTAGGACCTAAAAGGTAATGATTTATGTAAAAACCCTAGGAAGTGCTGATCTTCCTGTCTGGTTTGGTTTTGCTTTTGTCTGTGGCCCTGCCAGGAAGTCCAGGACCTTCACTGAAGCCAGTTAACCCTGATAAAGGAACTGAGCCCATGGGCCCTTTGCCCAGAAATGGTGCCACTGTAGGCTGCTGAGCTGAGGACCTCTGGCTGCCGAAGACCATTGGGAAGCCATGTCCTGTGTTCTGCCAGTTGGCTGAATAAGGCAGAAGTTGATTTTGGGCATGCGGTTGCTTACGTGGAAGCATGACCTTGAGGTTCAGAGACAGCCACTTACAAATGCTTGAGGGTGTGATACCTGGTGGTTCAAGGGTCCATGCCTACCACCACTCCCAATCTGGCGGCCCTTAAGAATGAGCACAGCACATGAAAGGGGCATGGAACCTCACATATGGAGGAATCTTGGATCCATAAACCCCACGAAGTCTCTGGGGCTGCCCACATGCAGTGGCTGCAGCTACAGCTTCTTCTCCTCAGGCTTCACTTTGGAAGGCTTCCCCTTCTTTACCCCTTCCTGTAAAGCTCATAAGCGCCACCAAGACAGCCCCTGAGCCACATGGACTCCCTGCCAGTGACACAAGATGGCTGTTTTTCCTCATAGGGACCCCTCGGGGAACTCTCAGTAGGCTAGGACCTTCCAGTGTCACCACTGACTGCCTTTCCTCTCTTTCTAGGACGTGCATAGACTTAACCCACAGTTGTCCTCAGGCTATGTGCTTCAAAGCCACCAGCCACTCTTCCCAGGAGCCACAGCAGACATCTGCAACAAGGGAGCATAATGTATAATATTTTAAAATTCTCTGTGGCAAGTTCCTCTTAGTCTTGAAATTATGTGATTGCTTTTTCACATTTCCATGATACAACAGGAAACACCTGCCTCTCAGCAGACGAATGGAATGAAAGATATGATCAGATACTGCCACTTCTTGCCCTAAGGAGGGGGATCTAGCTTGGCAGTCTGCTCTGTCTTGGATCAGCCACCTGGCAGTGCTGGCAGAGGGTCACTGCAGGCAGAAGGCCTGCCAGGGCAGAGGGGCCAACTCTGCCACATAGGGAAACTGGGGATGCAGGAAAGGCTGAAAATGGCAACAACCTCTCCTTCTAGGATATGAGCAAGACTGGACCAGTCTGGGGTAAGAGCTGCATGAACCAGAAGTTCCCCAAACCCAGGTGCCCAGCGAGGTGACACAGAAGGCTGCCCTGGTATCCTGGGCCTCAAGGTCCATACCTGAAGTCCTGTCCCACCACATCTCTGGAAGCACAATGGAAACAGCTTTGTCCCTCTGCAACTGCCTCTCCTGGATCTCATGCTGTCTGGTGGCCTCAGAATCATGCCTGACTGTGAGCTACATGTGGGTCCATGAGTGTGGGACATGTCCTCAGCTGGCACCCACCTCTGCTGACCAGGTGGCCTTGCTGTGGTTCTCTCATTTGGCCTCACCACAGTCTCCAATCAGTCCCAGGTCCTTACCTGGTCCCATTCTTCTTCAAGAAGGTGCTCTTGACATTGAGGTGGCGGCTGTTGAGCTCCAAGGCGGCAAATCCCCCATTGTCCAGGGTCACAGACTCCTCCATGTTGGAGATGCTCTTACCTAAAGCCCAGCCAGGAAAGCGAGTACATTTACTAACGTGTCCACTGAGTCAATCTGCAAACACCAAAATTTCCAAGATTCCTGCTGGGGTATCGGAGTCCAACCTTTGACTTGACTGAGTGAAAAGGAATTGTCTTTTTCCTCACACATACTATATAATTATATTATATACAATAGTATGTAATAATACATAACAATGTAAGAAATGAAACTATTTTTCTGGTATTGGGAATGAACACAACTTTGGGCTTGCCAGGCAGGTGCTGTGCCGCTGAGCTAAATCCCCAAACCTTTTCTTTTGCATTTCGATGTATTATTTTATGAAATAACACAGCAAGCCCAAGGTTAATAATTAAATGAAACTTTCATGTGTGCATAACAACAATAAATTCCTGTCTTCATAGTGCAATACCCAGAAGAAGGCTGAAACGCTACTCTCAGTGATTGCCGTGTTTTACTGCCAGGAATGATCCACACAGGTTTTGACTACACTGTGTGTGGCAGGTGCGGGAGGCAGAGTCAGCTGGCCCCACACTCACCCTGTACCCTGCACGGTGCTTCCCTGTTGCTATGCAGTCTGCATTAAAATATGGCAGAAAGTCACATAATATGGTGCTGTTAAAAGTTGAGGATCTTGTGGGGCTACAGTGCCATCCTGTTTGGGCTGGGCTGCTGAGACAGAAAACACACTTCTGTGGGGGCCATGCTCAGCTCTGTAGGCAGACAGCTGATAGGGGATGGAGCTGTGGGGGGACTGCATCACTGGAGCGAAGTGATAATATTAGCATTTCAGCATTTGTTTTGCCTACTGCCAAATACCAGCATTCCTGCCAATATTTTATGAAAATGTGCTCAGAATGCATAGACTTATTAAAAGTCAGGGAAGTTAAATATTTAACAAATTTCAAAATAAAAAAACCTCACAATCATATAATAAAATAAGAAGTGAAAAGCAGGTTTATATGGTTGTGAAAGCCAAAGAAAAGGCACCGGGTGGTTTCCTTTTAAATAGGTGATAAAAAATCTCCCTGTAAGGACAGTGAGGGCTGCACAGGTCTTCCAATTAAGGTCAACACAGGTCAAACTGTACATTTGATATACATTTTCAAAAACATATCAAAATTTATTCCAAAACATATGAGCAGACAGAATGGAAAAAGCTGTAAGAAATGAAAAACACAAGTCTCAGTAGCTTCCCCTCTCAACTGGTACAGGGCCCAATCCTCCTGTTGGCCCTGAGCCCGGCCTGCTCTGTGCCTCTGCCCCTTCCTAGGTGTCATCTTCTCTCACTGCCCCTTCACACAAGTGGCTGCGTGCAGCGCAGGCTCATTGCTCTGCCAGGTGCCCCTCCCAAGCTCTCCTCTTAGTGCCATGTGCCACCTATGTGGCTGTCAGCAAGAAGGCCAACACCAGATGTAGCCGTTGACCTTGGACCAGAAAGATGAGACAAAGCAGATCCCTTTCCTTTGTATGTAATGTACCCGGTCTGAGTACAGTGTAATTAGCAACACAAAACACTAAGACAAGTGTTATGGGGCAGAGTGCTTCCTCTGCTGTCCCCAGAGCACCTCCCTCTTCCCTCCTCTGTTTTTGCATTCACCTCAACCCCCATTAACGTGCTTTTCACTCACCCAGAGAACTTACACATGCATACTTGCTACTTTTTGACTTTGATCTTCCCCTATCGGATGAGATGCTCTTTGAAGTGTGAACTTTATCTGCCATGGTCCCCACCATCCTGCTGGCTGTGTGCTGCGAGTCTGTGTTAACCCTGAGAGGCTCCTCCATGGCGGAGTTTGAGGTTGCTTTTACTAGCAAGCACCGATCTTTACCCAGGCCTGCAGACACGTAACTGAAAGCAAGATAAACCCATGGCCTCTCTGTCTTCCTGTTGCATGTGGCTGCTTTGCTACCTTAAACTTGGGTCAGATTCCTGCTCGACTGCACATAGACACACTAGTCCCTTATGAGTGCCTATCTAAAAACTGGTTACATGAGATTGGTTAGTCCTAAATTTTGTAAGTTTACTTAAGTTCCCTCATCCCACTTCAAGACTAAAAACGTGAAGATAAGAGGAACTAAGACATTTTTAAGATTCCAGGAGCAGTGGGCAGGCAGATCATCCTACGATGGAAGAGAATGCCAGGGAAAGACCTGAGGCTGCCCCCTAAGCAGGAACCAGAGACCTCTTAAACAATAGTGACCTCCCTGGAGCCAGGAGGACCTCACAGAGCTAGACCTAAGGTTCCAATTAGCGAAGTCACAGTCTGACCCAGGCTGCCTGATTATGCAGGTTTCTTGTCCCTGCATCTAGATGCCTGGGGATTATACAGATCGGGCAGGATCCTACTGCCTGCTTCCTCACAAGGCCACATTAAATGGTAATTTCCTTTCTTCCTCATCACAGCTGTGTCTCTGGACTCTCAGGTGGCAAGTGGCAGACCTGTTGGGATTCTCAGTCAGGCCTTCTGGCCTAGAACTCCAGTAACACTCTGCTGGGGACCAGGCACTCTCCCATGTCCATCAGTGCTTTTGTGTACATTAGTAAAGCCAGCAGACGCTATGGCAGGTAAGAGATGGACCTGCCCACTGCAGGGGCTTATATACCAAGGTGGGCAGGTGAGATCCAGAATTGAAAGGAATGGGGCTCAGGACAGCAGCTTGGGGATCCCAAGCAGGAAAGGGAAGTAGGCAGTGCCGCCCTGCCACAGGCTTCATTTCCATTCATCTCTAAGGCAGGAAGGTAGGCACACTGTGAGGCTACCCCTATCCCAGGCTTCAATTATGATGCTAAATTAATACTCCAGGGTGAATCCAGGTATCAGACGCTTCAGGTTAGATCTGCCTTTTCACGTCTGTTTTGCAGATGGAGGAGAGTAAAAGCAGGGAGATTTTCTATGCACTACACATAGGATTCTGTAATAGCATTAACTCAGTAAAATGACATGCCATTCATATATTGCAAATCCCACAGGAATAAAATCTGATTCACGAACACTTGTTAGAAGTGAATTTATACAGAAAAAAAAATTCTTTCTCTGAGGGATGAATTGCTTAATGTTACCAAAGCAAATGGCAAGGCTTTTTAGGGGCCTGGGTTTATTAACCCTTTCAGCATGGCAGGGATACACCGAGGCCTGGTCTGGCCAGCCTCATCTTTATAGCATCATAAGAAAAGACAGACCAATGGGAGTTCCCTAGTGACAGAGCTGGGCTCAGGAAGATATCTGGTGATATCAGAGGGCAGCCACATTTTTTTTCCCTAATTCTGGGCATTGAACCCAGGTGGCTCTCTACCAGTGAGCTACCTCTCCAGTCCCTTTTTATATTGAGACAAAGCACTATAACATTGCTCAGGCTGGACTCAAATGTGTAAACCTGCCTCAGTTTCCCATTTATATTCTTTGGCTCAGCTACAGCTTTGGTGGATACTGTATGGGTAAAAAACAGGTTGCAGGTGTACAGTTATTTTCTGGTTATGCAAAGAAGTGACCTCACAGGTACTTGCACACATTTTTGTTAATACACTGAGGATATTAAAATGCATTCGGTGCACTGAGCTTAAGCGCTTTTGCACTGTAATCTCTGTGTGGAATGTGGAGCATTTCTGGCCCCCTCTAGGCTCTCCTTGCTCCTTTCCTGTCTGTGCTCCTCCACCAAGAGGCCACTGTGATGCTGCCCTGTAGGAACACACATTCATTTGGCTGCTTTTAATGTCCACACTAATATACTCTTCTGTGACCAGCCTCACCCCACACTCATTTGTTCATTTCTGTAACTGACGCATTCTGCAAAAAACATTTAGTGACCTAGCACATGCTCTATGCCAGGTGGGGAACTTGGGCTGGGAGCAGAACAATGACCTGGCTTTCTGAGAGTCTGAGCTGGACTAGGGAAACAAGGTGTGGCACAAGCTCAAGCCTGTGAGAGGGGCTGATTCATAGGAACACTCTGCAACACCCTACATGCCACCCTGAACTCACTGCATCACAGTAGATGACAGGGGCATCTGTCTGCTGCTTACTCTTTCTGATCACACTAAAACGCCAATGCATTTGGAGCGGCAGTGCTCATGACAGAGCTGAGGGCAGTCAGGCAGGAGCTTGGTCACCAGGCCAGAGCTCTGGTTTAAGTTTGCCTGCCATCTCCAGAAAGTAGAGTCACTGTACCTATGTCATGTCCTCCAGGTCAAAAGAAGGGAAAGGCAGAAGCAGGAAGGGCAAATACAGCAGAGACAAGGAGCTGGGTGCTGAAGGGACATGGGGGCACAGGAATGGCACTGGGTGGAGCTCAAACCTGCACCGCAGCTCTTGTACTTTTTGTTCTGTCCATGCAGGACCAGGGCAAACACCACCAGCAGGATGATGATCAGACTGGAGAGCGCCATCACTAGCAGGAACCACCACTCCTCGTAGAATGGGGCTTCTACTTGGGCTGCAGAAGAGACACAAACTCACAGTGAGGATGCACAGGAGTTCCAGACACAGCTGTCCCCTGCGAGCCTGGCACAGAGAGGATGTGGAGGATGCTGAGTCACAGGGAAGACAAAAGCAGACCAGACTACAGTGGGTCAGTGGACCCCTTGCCCATCACGTCTACCATCACACTCCTCTAACTCATATGCTTAAAAACTCTGTCTGGTCCTGCTTCTGGTCCCTGCAGAGCTTCCCTTCCCACTAGCCCTTGTGCCCTTACTGCAACTGGCATCACTTTTTGCCCATACCCAAGAACCTTGTCCCAGCATTTCTGCATGTCCCAACTTATTCACATCCACTCTACACTGCCAGCAGGGAGGTCAAACTGTCCTCTCCTGCCATCCTCCAGGTTGCCACTGGCTTTGGGGTGAAGACTGAGCTCTGAAGATCCCCAGGACTTAACTCTTGCTTCTTGCCCAACTCTGGATGCCCATGGACCTATAAATAAGCCTCTTGTGTCAGGCACTTACCAGATGTATTTGTCTATCTGTTGGCCTTCTCTGCCAGACCAGAGTTCCTGGAGGCTGAGGCTGTGTTTTATTTGTTTTGTGCCTCCAGAAAAACTGAGCTGAACTACCAGTCTCATCTTTAGATTTGTTTTTGAGAAATGAATAGGCAAGGTTTCATTTAGAAGTTGTTTTTCAAAAAGGGACTCCTTTTTCTGAGGTTATGTTCTGTTTACTAAGTGGTTTCTCAGTGGGGTTGGCTGGCCCTGGAGTCCTGTTCTGCACCCACTGGAAGCCTCCCTACATGGGCTGGTTTATAGCATCTGATGCCTCCAAAGTGGATCCTCTTGTAGGCAAAGCCTAGAGTCTGCCTGTAGCTGCCAAAGTCCACAGAAAACACATCTACCCTGCATTAAGTGTATCACGGGCTGAATGAAGAATGTGTGCACACTGGGGAATAAAGGGGAAATTGGTTTTGGATAATGTTCTGCCACAGGGTTTCTTAGGAAATAACAGTATTTCGAATCTAAAAGATAGAAGCAGGTTTTTAGTCTGTGCATTCAATATGCCATGTAACAAGGCCAACAAGGCCCCAAGCACCCATAGTAGCCTGGCTCTTGCACTGGTGGGAAAGAAAGGCTTTTCTGTCTTTTAGGCCCTCACGCCAGGGCAGGAGCCCCATGTGCTACAGCTGGGGTGGTAACACAAGGCGACAGTGGCTGGTTCCTTGGAAGGATAGGATAAGCTGGCAGCAGGCAGCCAGGCCAGCACCTGCATATAATGGAAGTTCAGAGAGGCATCCACGCAGGATGCACGGGAGGAGGGTCAGGGAGCACATAAAGGAGGAGTGCTTGTCATCAGCTGCACATGTGGACCTGAAGTTTGCAATCATGTGTAGACTGGTGCAACCACTATGGAGGTCAGCCTGGAGATTCCTCAAAAAGGTGGGATTGGAAGTCCCATTTCACCCAGCTATTCCACTCCTAGGCATATTCCCAGAAGAACTGAAAACATCATACCACAGTGATATATGTGCACCCATGTTTATAGCAGCAAAATTTGTAATAGCCAGATCTTAGAAACAACCTAAGTGCCCATCAACTGAGGAATGGATAAAAAAGTTGTGGTATTTTTATACAATGGAGTACTACTCAGCTATAAAGGATGGTCACATTGAGATATTTATAAATAAATGGACACAACTTGAGACCATATTCATAAGTGAAATAAATCACACTCACATGTATAAATACCATATAGTTTCTCTAGTGTAAGAAATGGTAAGAGTACATAAGATTTATGATAGTCATGATTCCCCATTGCATTGCTTTGAAGCTTTATAATATTTTCATTCATTAGTTGGAGTGGTTTTATTCTGTTTTGCTTGATTTTATTATGTGTGATGGTATGAACAGCTATTTTGAAGAAAACAAGACATTATGTCAACCATTGCTGAGTTAATATCAGCTTGCTTTGAAGTCCTACCATGATTTTGTTTTTCTGTTTCCATTGGTTCCATCATGTTGTGTCTTATTGGATTTTAACATGTGTGATAGTATAAGCAAAAGTTTTATGGAAAAGGAGATAATATAGTAGCCATTGTTCGTTTTCTGTTATTTGGTTCTAAATGCCCTGTAATACTTCATTCTTTTGAATGGTTTTATACTATTTTGTTATGTTTGATACTATTGTATGTGAAGGTACACTCAACTATTTTAGAGAAAGAGACATTATGGTTGTTACTTTTAATATCAGGTTGTCTTGTGGTGAAGTGCTGTGTGGCTTACATTGTTCTGATCTGCTTGTTCTGTCCTCTTTTGTCTTAATCTCTTTAAAATAAAAAAAAGTTTGCAATCACACTGTATTGGGTTTTCACAGATGAACCAGATCCTAAATTCCTGTCTGTTGGGGCTCCTTATCCTACTCTCTACCCTTTGGGGCATGTTTAAGATGATATTTTCCCCCAAACATTGCTTCTTAAAAATTGAAATAGACTCCTGAGCCTTCTTTTTGCCTTTTTCACTGAGGGACATAAAATCCAAGGGTGCTCCTAGATCTGGGTGTAGGATTGGGCCCCCTATCATTCATAGACCCCATCCTTCCTCAAACCCCTGTTTGCAATTTCAGCAATAGGGTCAGTAACTAAGGCAACTTAAAAGCAGGAAATGAAACCAGTTGTGAAATCTTAACACTCTGGGAGGCTGAGGCAGGAGGATTGCAAATTTTAGCCTAACCTAAGCAAGTTGGTTAGTTGGTGAAAACCTCAAAACAAACAAACAAACAAACAAACAAACAAGCCACCAAGCAGGGGATGAAACATGTTCTCAGCATAGGGAAGAGTAGTAGTAGGGAGGCTGGATACCTTCTGGCTCAGCCTACGCTGGTTACTGGCTGGACTCTGCCCATCACCCAGCTCCTCTTTGTCCCAGCAGGTACCTTTTCTCACCCTCATCTTGTTGCCCATCATCCTCTAGCCAACCCCTCCCTCATTAATGCCCCCAATCTAGGGTCACAACCTGTCTGCACACCAATCACTTGCGGGTTAAAAGAGAAACCCGGACCCCATCCAGGCAGCTGAAATCAGTGTGTGTGTGGGGACCTGGCTTTGTCTTAACATTTGTATCACTCTGAGGTACAGCCTGAGAAAAACGATTTTGCTCCTCAGCTGCCCGGACCAGCCCCTACCTGATACCGCTGGTGAGGGCCTGCTGGGCTCTCCATATCCCGCCTCATTGGCAGCCACCACCCGGAACTCGTATGTCACTCCTTGCCGGAGCTTATCCAGGCTGATGGTGTAGGATGTGGCGCTCCGGGGAATGTCCTTCACGAACATGTCCCATAAACCTTCATCTGCAGGAGGGATAGAGATCAAACAGAACAGAAGTGAGGAAGGTCTTCTCTCAAATAGGCCCTGGACACTGCCCCTGCCAGGCCATCAGTCCCAGGCTGCCCGGGACCAGGGCTGGTGAAGGCTGCATGGGGCAAAGGAAGAAAGACACATTTGTTCCTTGAGGACTGATTCTGTGCAGTTGTGAGCAGACAGCGGCGTTTCCCTGGTCCTGTTACCCACCTATTCCTGTGCCCCTCTGGTTTCTTACTTCATCTGTCTTTGGAGTTCCTGGCTGTCTCCCTGTCGGCTGCTGCTCTTACTTCCTGCTATGTGCACACCATTACCAACCTCTCTTGATCCACTGACAACTCCACCTGGCTTGGCCACCCTTCTGGTCACAAGAAGCTCCCTGTACATCTGAGGTATCCCATCTGTACCCTAGTTGGAAACACCAGGCATCCAAAGGTCAGGATAGAGACTCTAAGCCCCAGCTTTTCTCCAGGCCTGTAAGCTTTGCAGTGGTACCAGGCCCACTGCAGTGTGAGCCCAACAGCCAGGCAGTGTTACCCAATCCAACAGACATGGGGCTGATTCTCTGTCACAGCAGAGCGCTGGATGGCAGCTGAACAGATGCCAGGATCATGGGATCTGCATCTGCTCAGTGGCAACCCTGCCTGGGCCCCCTTTCCCTCCCCCTGGGCAGTTGGCCCTGGCTTTCAACTTAACCCATTTCCCTTTAAGGAAAAAAAAAAAAAAAAGCTCAGCTTGCTGCCAGTGGTCCCTTCATTTTATATAAACATACTCTTTGAGGCTGAAGGAAGTCTGGTTTTCAATGTGAAAATACAAAAACCACTTTTGGAATTTTTCTAAAGGGACCTTTTCTCCAAACCCAATATAAAAGAAATGCATAAGGTGATCAGTACTTAATTTTTTTTCCATGTGGTAAATTTCAAAGCATGGAGTAATGTAAAGTAGAACATCACATCCCATATAAAAATATCATGTTTCTCCCTCGGTCTTCATCCTTGTTCTTGTGAAAATGGCAAACTTTGCAGTAACCCACTGCAGTCAAAGATAATAGTAAACAAGAGAGGTTTTATGGTAAACTTCAGAAGTAAGGATAGAACTGTAATCTGTGAGTTATCTTGGAGTAAGCCCCTTAGCCACTGTAGCCAGCGAATATTTTTCTGGGACAAAGGGAAAATGGGTTAAAGGCCAGCTTTAAAACCATATTGCATTAAGGCTGAGCAGCCTCTGAAGTGGCTTCAGCATCAAACCCACCCTGAGAGTGCCCAGGTTTCCACTCTGTGTTCAGGAATTACCAGATACAAGTATAAACTTTAAAAATATATACTGAATTCCCAACAGATATTTGCCTGCCAGCTTCCATGGCAGCATGCTTCCTAATCGCTGAAAGGAGGAAACAGTCCTCGGGTCTGTGCATGGATGGATAACCTTGGATGGCAGAGAGCAGCACGACTCAGCCGTGTGGAAGAAGGACATTTGGAAGCAGGGCATAATAGGCTTGAGCCTCAAGGACAGAAAGCTCTCGGAAAGAGCCTGCCACAGAAAGACACAGAGTGAAGGCCTCCACTTCGGAGAGGTCCTGGGAACAGCCACACTCATGAAAGTCAATGTTCAGCGAGGACAGCGTTTCAGTCTGAGAAGATGCAAGGAGCTCTGAGGATGGACAGTGGCGGTGGCGGCACACTGTATACACTCAAGCGCTCTATTGAATGCCCCAAAGAGTTAGAATGGCAAATTTTGTATTATGCATATTTTACCACAGTGAAAAACATGTTGAATTTACCTAAACACTGATATAAAATGTCAATAAAATTAAAATTAAAGCCACAAAATCTGCTGCAGTAAGGAAGGAAGGAGCAAACAAAGTACAGGTTGGCCTTGAACTCACAGCAATCTTTCTGTCTCAGCTTTCCAAGTGCTGGGATTATAGGTTTGTGCCACCATGCCTGGCTGAAATTTTCTTGTCAAGAGCAAAGACACCCCCCCCCCCGCGCCGCCACAGCATCATGGCTGAAAGGATGAGTGTGAGATTAGACAGCTCTTGGTGTGAAGCCTGGTCCTGTCAATTAACTGTGTGACCTCAGGCGGAGAACTTAGCCTCTCTGCGCTTTGCCTGTAGAATGATGATAACAAAGGATCCATATCATAGGTTTGCTTTGAGGGTTACACAAGTTATTATTCATAAAGTGCTTAGAATAGCGCTTCATACATAGCAAGCAGTACATGAATGTTTGTAAAATAAAATATAAATTTACTCCCCAAGGAGGTTGTTTGCTAAAAGGTAGCCTCAAAGCCCAAAATGTTCATTTGAAGTAGCAATCCTTCACATGTTGTATTTTCTTTTATAGGCACAGGTATGTGATACTTTAAAAAGCAGGCAATTGGAGAGGAAACACCATTTGAATATGCATGTGCATGCGCTGACAGCTTTATGGGGCCCTGAGGTGATCCAGGAACCAGCCCGTCACCCAGGAGCACCAGACTTGCTGGATGGATTAGCACCATGGTAAACAGCAGGAAATTGCCGGTGTGTCAGGCTCTGTTTGCGGAGGATTTAAAGTTTGCCCGACTGAGTCCTCACAGTCACCGGTTAATGAAGGAGTAGATGTGAATGATTTTAAAGTCACACATCTCTGCATAGGCCAAGGAGCAAACAATAATGATTTACTTCTAAATACTCATACTATCACCAAGTCTCATCAAGACACTCATTACAGTAATAACGTCAAGATGGCAAGCTGCAGCTGAAGTGGGGTTTTTCCCACTTAAAATACTGAGGTTTACACATGGAGTAACACTGCGGTTCTATGTGAGTTTTGCATAAGGACTGTCAGGACTGCTTGTGCACGGACTCTGTGCAGGCTACTCATTCACTTGGGGGTCATCTTCATCTCTCCTCTTTACCCCTCCCTCATGGCTAAATGCCCCAGGCCCTGGTCTTTGGCTGGGTCATGTTCCTCCACTAGGGAGCCAGATGACAGTGGCTCTCTGTGAGCCACACACAGTGCAGGGCAGGGTGGAGAGAAGCAAGGCCATGGCCATGCAGGACCCCACCCTACTCTCCAGGAAGGCACGGCTGCGTTCCCTATGAGATCTTGAATTTATCAAGAGATCGACAAATATCTGTCACCATCGTCCATCCCACCACCACCCACCTGCTGTCCTGTGGCCTGTCCCAGAGCAAGCATTCAGCAAATGCCAACCTCCATAGACTCCTAGTAAGCAAGTCACTGTTCAAGGGCTTTAAGTGCTGAATAAACTGTGGAGTGCTCCTCCTCTAAACAGACAATCTTATAAGAGATTAGAGGCAAAAATACTTACAAACTGAGTGTTCTTTAAGCTCACTGAAATTAAAGTACCACTCATGTGAAAGATTTTCTGAGTCTTTTTGGGTCTGGACACCTCTACAGGAAGCTCCCTGAATGTATTTTGCATTAATGTTTCTCTAATGCTTTCTTGTGGCCAGGGGAAAAAATGATTCTTCTTCCTTTACTATCACCTAAAGGCCACATTTTATTTTAAGAGCTCTGTCGTAGCTCCAGGAATGGTGTACATTTTTTATAAAAACATTTTAAAATATTGATATAGAATCTTGACATTGAAAGATTTATTTAGCAATGCTTTTATACTCAAAAAAATGAGGAGGGGATATCATACCATGATAATTTTACTTTGAATTAACAGAAAAAAATGTTCATATTTTTATCCTGCTTAATTCTGCCTTGCCTAAGTTAGCATATTCAGTGTTTTATGCTCCAGTTATAATTTACTGGACTATTTATCCATACCAGTATTTACACCATGATCATGAGTGGGCAAGAAAAAAATTGGCAGCCACTACAGTATCCAGTTTCTCAACTGTAGATTGGTTTTTTCATTTGTATTATACTGCTAAATATTTCAATAAATCAGTGATGGGGAAAAGTATCTCTACAAATTAGCAGGAAAAATAACATTACAGAACTATTAGCAATAATAAGATTTGTATGACTGGTTTCCATGCACCAGGAGGATCCCTGTGTCTGGACTCCATCTCCATCCACAGTGGGAAGAACAGTACCATATGTTTTTCAAAAAAATCCAGGAGTGGCTCACTCTGCTGAGATACTTGGGACTTCTCAGCCTGGTTGTCCTCTGGGGCATGAGCTGTGAGGTCGCCATCATGGACACCTATGACCCCTGGGTGAGAGAAGAGTCCTGGCTTTTTGAACACCAGACCCCAGATGATTGGTCCATGGATGACGGATCCTCTATCTTCCTGATCCCAAAGCCAAGACCTAGGTGGGGCCACACTTTAAACTTCCAGGCAGCACCCTTGTGGTATCCAGGGAACTCAGGGAGGTCCATGCTGTGAAGGGAGCTCAAATCCCACCAGTGTGCTCCCTGCCCTGTTCTTCCTGGGCACTGAGAAGAACAGTTTCCTAGATTCTTGTTACTAAGACACTGTGGGAAAAGTTCCACGTCAAGATCTTAAGAAATCAGGGAGCTGCTGAGAAAGAAAAGTTGCAAATATTGCTATCAGCCCCGCGTCATCACAAACCTGAAATCCTGTTAACTTCAGAAGGAAAGATGAATGAGAATCCACAAGTGCAAGTCTAGCTCTGCACCTAGGTGGTTTTTCTTTAAAGAAATCCACTATTTGCTCTTTTTATTGCATTATTTGTCCATTAAAAGAAGGAAAGTAGCCAATATTGAAGATTTCTCCAAAAAGAAATCTTTTCTAGGACAAATACCTGAGACCATGCTTGTTTCTGGCAGATACAGCGTTGCTTGCGCCCTGACAGTAGGAGGCACATCTGCTCCTTGACAATGTCCTGATGAGTGGGGGGATGTGATCTCTTTTCTGAACTGAGACAGAGCTCTGCGCAGTGCGTCCAAGGGGACACCACTGCTGACTGCATTCCTCCAACCACCGCCCAGGACTGAGTGGTGCCTTGCAGGTATTAGAGCAGACGCCGCAGCCAATACAAAAGTGTGATTTCATGGACAATTA